CGCGGTGATATAATTCGGGAGGGGCGAGATTTTCTCGAACGAGATACGTCGGACGGCGAAAACTAGAGAGAAGAGAGAGAGAGAGAGAGGCTTCGATGACGGGAAAATGAGAAACGAGTGGCCATTATCGCGGCGCATTTTACGAATCCGACAGATTATTAACACAAAGTTACTTGAATGCACGCAAAGCTCACCGAGAGTTCCACGGCGGAAATGCCGGAAAACGCATTAGCGTGCGCTTCCCGACGATCCTTTGTTGTATCCTTGATTATCTCGTCGTTATCTCGTCGTCGAGATTCACGGTCTGTTACGCGCCGATTTATTGATTCGAATTATTATAGCGACTATTCCGTATATTTAGAATTAAACTTAATTATTGTAGATCCGATAGGGGGATACAAATAGAGTTTCATACATATACTATATGCAACTTTTAATTATATTTTGCTTAAGTTTGACATATATCGCATGTCCCAAACGGTTCACACAAATTTTTGGGTTAATTTAATATAGATATATTAAATGGTGGGTTAATTTAATATAGATATATTAAATGGTGACACTAATATGTTAATATTTCAACACAAAATGAATGCAAACTTCATAGCAATTTGAAATAAATTTTGTGTAAAATCAACATATTTTTAATGGTAAAATTAACTTAGAAAAAAGATTATTGACGATCTGTAGTCACTCTCATTCTTATAGAATAAAATCAACATTTTTTCTATAAATTTTAACAGATTAATCCTGTCACTAATAATACCGATCTATTGGGTAAAATTAAAAATATGTGCACATTGTATTATTTTTACATTTCTCTCAGTTGTTTTAATAATTCAACATTTGATTTCAATTAACACAACATTTAACACAATATTTTCAATTAACACAATATGTTAAATTATCACATAAATGTGTTAATTATTTAACACAAAAATTTTAATCGGCATATTTGTTAACAAGAAAATAATAAATTTCCCAATTATGTAGTAGTGGGATGCAAAATACATATAAAATATCCTAAATGACATCAAGTCGTGAACAAATCTCTCAGCGATAAGTTTGTCCGAATATACACAATAACTATTATATATTGTATATAAATTACATATATTTGATATAGTATATAAAAGGAATATTAAGAAACAGATATATATACGCGATGTATAATTAATTCGAATCGAAATTGTACATAATCAACAGACAAGAAAATACGTCCGTTATTCCATAAAATAAACATAATTGTTCCCTTGGAAAATCTCGGAGCGACGGAAAATTACCGCGAAAATCTTGCTTCCGTGGCGTGTTTGCATCGTCGAAAATTAATCTCGGACGACTTATGGCCCCTATAATTTAATCGCGTCGTCCTTCGTGCGACACGCGGTACACATTCCGTATTAGGCTCGTTCGCCTACAGCCATTCGCGCTCAAGTCGCTAACGTGCGTGCCTTTCTCGTGGGCGCGAGTAATTTGGCAAATTAGTAGGATCGATGAACAATATTCGCGTCGTGTTTGAGGCAATGTGCGGGATCGCGCGTCGTATAATAGCCACGCCGAAAATCGTCGTCCACGGAATAAGCGCTTACACCGTTCTCGGGCAACGAGGGCGGCTTTGTGCTCGTAAAATCCCGGCAAAACCCTCTTGGCATTCGATGGAGAGGGGAGGAGGGGGATAATAGGGGACCGATATATGTATGCGCATCTCATAGGCCAAGTTTACGAATATACAGCGTTTGTCACGCGTTTAGGGAAACGATCCTTTTGAAAGTGAAACTACAATCGAGATCGTCGCGCGTAAATCATACGTCATTTTTAGGTATATTAAGCTATTTAAGCCAAATTGTCAGAATTTAATGAATTAAATATGAAATCAATTTGTCAATTTTTTTCATTTTTGTTTTGAAAGCAAAAAATTGCAAAAAATTAGCAAATTAATTTCGTATATAATTTATTATGTTCTGATAATTTGACTTAGATAACTTGAGACCTGTCATCTTTTTAGAGAGTGAATTTTTTTTACGGCAAAAAATAATAATTTTATTAAATTATAAATGAAATTTATACATAAAGCTCTAAAACTATAATTACACGATAGAAATGAAATCTTATGAAACTGCATATTTAAAAGCGAGCAGAAAACACACACATGTTGTTTTTAATTTTAATTAAAAATAAAAGGATCTAAAAATGTAAACAGCAGAGAGAAATTAAAAAAAAAATGTGTAATATGATTAGACAAAATGCAATTGTGCCATCTCTGTTTATATTTTTTGTTAATAATATTGCGCATTGTGTAATGGTATTTCAAAAATGATATCGTAAAATTATAATAAAATTGAAAACCCAACAGAGGCATGCTTTTCAATTCTTTCGCACTTTATTATTCGACAAGATCAATTTCATATTAAAACACTTTGCCCTAATAATGTTGCAGAAGCTATAAATTTGACGTTGATGTTGCATTTTATTGAACGCACGTTCTCTCACAGTGACATGTTATGATGAAACCTCGCGTCTACTAAATTCTCCGACTATTGTTGGTATACTCGTGGGGATTGACGCATTGACCAGCAGCACTTCGCGCTGCCATTCGGCCAGATCTAAAAAGTTAAAAGCTTCCCTGATTTTCGGCCGATTCCGCGGGAAACTTTCGACGATCGATAGGATGAACTCTCAGCGAATTATCAGATAGTTTAACCTCGTGATTTCTTGCGACGCGCTTGTGAGAAAGATCTCGGCAACTTAGCTTAATCAGCACACAAAGAACTATACGCCATACGTTACTCGAAAAATTGTGATCAGATGTCATAAAAACTCTACGGAATTCGTTGACACGAGAGACGGAGAGGAAGGAGAAAGCTGTTTTATTTCTCTTTTTTGAAATCGATATTTCATGAAATGTAATTATTATACAATATACATATGTTTATATAGAGTGTTTCAGAATTAGACCGACAAATTTTAGGTGGTTATAAAGGACACTAAAACAAGCCAATTTTGTCAATAAACCCGTGTCCGCAAATGAACTGTTTTGACACTAGATAATCAGAGACTAACAAGGGCAAAAATTTTTGAAAAAAAAATATTTTTTCAAAATTTTATTAATGTGGTTAAATAGAGATGTTTTTACCATGAAACTTTTGTATAAAACATTTTTTGATATCTCGAATAATTTTCGAGATATATCGAGAAAAGCAAAAAGCCGATCTACACATGAGGGGTGATTTCACCCCTTAGAATTGTTTTTGGGCGGACTGGAAATTTCGAAATTCATCTATTTACCCCCCTCCCCCTCCTACATGTGTGTAAAGTTTCATCAAAATCAGAATTTTCGGATTCGCGAGACTCCCTTGTTAGTCCATGGATTTATTGGCAAAATTGGCTTGTTTTAGTGTCCTTTATAACCACCTGAAGTTTGTCGCTCTAATTCTGGGACACCCTATATATCCTTGGCTATAGCTATCTAGTTTGGCTCCCGGTAAAGACTTTCGGTATTTAAAGAGATGTTCGAAGCTTTAAAAAAAAACAATTCCATTCAAATTTTGGTAAAAGGAACTCGCGAAACAACCTTCGAATAAACCGATAGGTAAATAAATTGCGGTCGGGGATGGATGGTGGAGGGGGGGGGGAGGGGGGAGAGCGGATAGAGAGAAGAAAAACCGCGATCGCGCGATTGATGGACGATTTGCGGGAGGAGGAGGAGAGGGGAACGTTAAGCGCGAGGTAAAAAAAATTGTGGTAACGTTTAGCGAGAGCGTCAACGGTCTGATTAGCCGCTTATCCGTTTAAACCGGGCAACCGTCGATCGATGCTGTTTACAAACAGCCGCGACGGCGTTGCTCGATGTTGGCTCTCGAGACGATCGTCGAGAGAAGAAACGCGCGCGAGCGATCTTTCTTAAATCACGAACAATTTCAAAGGCTGGGATTGTGACTTGCGATTTATCGCGGACGTTATCGAACGCGAGAGAAAGAGACACACAGAGAGAGAGAGAGAGAGAGAGAGAGAGAGAGAGAGAGAAAACACTCGACTTGCAAAAGAGGTTCGCGAGATGCGAAAATAACGCGAATGCAAATGTGGCGATCTCGAGAGCTCCTTTTAGGTAAAATCTTTTGGAGTTTCTTGCAAACGGATCGCTCGGCCAGTAATTTACAAACAATCGAGCGAAAGGATGAACGAACGAATGAACGATTACAACTCCATCGAGTACGAGCGAGCGAACTTAAATTCCACGGAAGCCGAACTTATCGTTATGTTGACACGAGCAGCCGTGAGCGAGAGACGAGGTCGGGTTAAGAGGAAGCTTCTGTCCCCGAGCAAAACCGGGGGTATCCCGGAAAGTTTCGGAGAGAGAGACCCTGTCGCGCGCGTTTACCCCCGCCTGACCCCTCCCCCCCTGAACCCGTCGCGGCACCGGCTAACGACCTGAAAACCACCAAGATATACGGCCGGGCTCGCATATCATCGTGGAAGAATGAATGCCCGGCGAGCGGAGAATCCGGGGATGAGATAGCCGAAAGTGGAAAAGGTCGTGCGGAGTCAGACGCGAAAGGAGGAAGAGGGGGGGGGGGGGGGGGAATCTACGG